GCATTTCAATAAGCAGTATTTTCCACGGTTTTAAATGGAACACTAAAAAGGAATAAACAAATAAGTAACCCAGGCACAACTGCATCGGACGGTACATGCGCTAAAAGTACTCGATCGACATTTTCGTATTTGATGAACGAGTCTTGAACCGAACGATAGTCAATTATCAAAACTTGATGATTGCTTTCGGCGAAACGTACTAACTGACGTGGCGTTATTGTGAATCCAATGTCTATAATTGAAAAGAAGCATTCACATTAATTCCAACGAATAATCAATTGATACTGATAACAACTACAGCAACACTATACGAAGATGAACAGTTGTCAAGCACCTACCAGATTCAGGCTGAATCTCAGAAAGCTTCGGTTGTTGATTAGTAGTACCGTTTGTTGCCGACACCATTTTGCTAATAGCTGCCGTTGTCTCATTTTGATGCATCTCTTTTTTGCGATATAACTCTTCCACTTCTTTCAGCTCATATCGCTTCTCAAGACTCTCTTCAAGTTCCCTCATACGAGAAATACAAGTTTTGAACAAGTCATAGAAGCGACGACCATCCTGCAAACAACCAACAGAATAAGGCACAAATGCTAGTATTCAATCAATTTTGATTATTTCCATAAATGAAATGTTCAACTATGATTTTGAAACATTCAAATACTATCGTTCTTCTCAGCTCATCGTCTCGATAAAGCAAGAAAACATAAACCGCTTAGTTTTCTTTATGGAACGTACATAAAAACTGACTTGTGCTGTGCATAACAATACTGTTCAAAGAAAGACAAATTCAAAAAAAAGATGGTGAACACATGAAGGTGTCATCACACTGATAGTAAAAAATGCTCTATTGATGATTCGCTTGATTATCATGAAAAGATTCTGGCATATGTAGGAATAATGACATCTAATGAATAACATTTAGAATAAAGTACATACCGGAGTCGACTTGAACTGTTTGAAATCATTTTTGCTGATCAACAATTGTGAGATAACACCCATTCGAGAGAGTAGCTGATAGCTTTGTTCCTCATCACCTTCGCGTTGTTTCAGCGATGCTTCATCGAATAAACGTTCCACGTGGGAGAAAGCTCTAAAATTTAAAACAATCCCACCAAAAGCATTAACAAAATGATTACGTTCGAAGAAATAAACAATGATCAAAGTGAATTTTCAAGTAATTTATACGAAATAACAATCTCTCTCAAAGGAGTAAGAATTACGGCATTTTTATCGAACACAAAATTGAACAACTGAACGGAGTAAAACCTCCGTAGGACAAAGTTTTGTGCACAAAAAGAAATTTTTTTGGTATGACAACAAACCTGACAGACGGAAGTCTTTCGATAATCAGTTTCTGCTTCGGCACCAGCTCACAGGCAGTCTTCAACGCCTCCAAACTGTTATAGTTCAAATCCACTAATCGGTTCATCGATCCCGAATGATCGTGTACCATATTCTGCAGATGAGCCATATATAATGATCGTTTCACAAGAAAAATGAAACGAAAATAAGCACAGCGCTTTGGAAGTGAATAAAAAAAGTGGGATCATTTCAATCTCAGGAGGAACGATTCATAAAGAGAATACGGATTGGATTGGTATCGACAAATAAATACAATATATGCTCGCAGAATCACCGAAAACAAAAACTTTGAAAACGATGTGATCAAAAATTTCAAAATATTCGAGATAATGCAAGATCTCCGGATGATTCCGGTCATTAAACGTAAAATCGAGCTCATATTCTGAAGAACTGCGCTCAACATACTCGATTACTGTTCAGATCGCATGGAAATATACTGGAAAGTCCTTCGACTAAACACCCGGAAGCAAAATAAACACACAGAAAGTTCGCCAATTAGGAACGAAGTGACACATTGCCATGTGACGGGGGATTTCCTCATTTTTATTTGATAGGTGTACGTTGGGAAATGTGAATTCCGTACGGATTAAACGGAAATAACTCCGAGCAATTTACATATCGTTTTGTAGTGCAGATCCAGGAGAACAAAATATAATGTACAGAGTAGACAGCAATAAAGATAGATTCGAGGCTTTCTGTTTGGCTCGAAAAACAAAAAAGTTCAAGACATAATTGGAATTGCTATCCATCCAACAGGCAAAATCCATAACTAGGATACATATTATCCTGTAGCCGAAACAGAGTATACTGAAAAAACTGAATTCAATTTTGACGCCAACAGCTTCATTTATCATGTAGTTCCATCAACAGCAATGAAACAGTATGGCATTTGTCAGACGCCCAAATTGTCCACATGAAAAAAAAATTATAGCAGTTTTCCACTGAATTTGATAACTTAACGGCGGATTCATGCTCTGCAACATTACGTATGAGATATTGGATGCATGTTGAATTAGATAAGCGATCCGAGCTTTTTCTACGAACATTTTATCCCAATATAAAACCTATTCCCCAATTAGATCCTTTCTAAATCCCAATGCTTTATCGTTCAATTGTACACTTCCATCCACGGAAATGAAGCTGTTCAGATGGAAAAGTACTTTTTAAAACGCTTTTCTGATTCTATCCCAATATAAAACCTATTCCCCAATCAGATCCTTTCTCAATCCCAATGCTTTATCATTGAATTGTTCAGTTGCATCCAAGGAAATGAAGCTGTTTAGATGGAAAAGTGCTTTTTAAAACGCTTTACTGATACAGAATCTCGAAGACCTTTCTAGAATCATGACACCCCATCAACCCATCGAAGCACGCATGCATCGGGAGCGCTCTCCATCTATGGCGCTCTCCTGTTTCCTCGCGCTATTCTCCACCCTCACTGTATGCTACAATACTATTTTTGTGCATTCAGAAGGCCACTCCCGCAGTGATGCGCAGCGGTTCACATGCATCAGATTCACATGCAAAATGCATACTTCCTGTACCGAGCCATTATACCATGTTACAACAACTTTGATTGGTCGAAGGCATTTTAAGCCTAAAATTTTTCATGTGTTTCGCAATAATTTTTTAAATTTTCCAACTCTATTGACGCGATTCATGGAAAATTCTTTTCGATCTCTTATTCCTTTCAGGTTGAAAGTATGTTTCACTGATTTTCAAACTCCATCTCAAAAAAAATTCTATCACTGCAGTTTCAAATCCCATCGAAATTCGAAAAATTCTTTTGGTCACACTTTTTAGAGGCCTCATCGCATCTCTACACACATTCCATGAATCGCTCACTGCTCCTTCGTTCGAACTCTAGGAATACCACCATTGATATATCGTTCTAAATTTTCTCCGAAATCTGTCAATAAGTCGTTTTTCTGATTAAGACTTTAATTGATTATCAAACATTCCAAATACTCATTAGCAGGAAAAATTATACGAAATCGATCTTATCGAAAGTGAACGTAGTTGAGGTATCATTGTCCTGAAACTAAACCTCTTTTGTACTGATATTCCAGTTCATTATAATCCCCTTTCCTGAAACCATAAGTTGCGAGCATTCAGCTTTCCTTCGCATTACATATTTTCGTGTATAATATTAATACAAAGTATAGTTTTGATTCTCAAAAGAAGCCACAATAAATTATTAGCGATCATAGATGAGCACAGCGAATGTAACGGCTTTGAGGTTGAGAATAATACTTGAATTCATCGCCTAGCTTCCGCATAGCTTCCGGGTGAAAACGAAGAATTTTATTGTCTATTGGCGAATCTCAAGGGGTCAATTCGCCAATGGGAGAGGGCGGGGGGTCAATTGGCGAATCTCAAGATGTTAATCGCTCGTGGGGTCGTTGCTTAATGATAGTAAATCGCATACAATTCATTGGAATAGTTCGAGTAACAACTGTGGATACTCAATGCAAAAACAGTTATCAAATTTCGAAAGGTTCCTTGAAAAAGAATGATTATATAAGCTTGGCTGACTTATTAGAATACCATGAAAACAAGACTGATGCTAATGGAATAAGTTAGAAAATAAATATGAAGTTCATTATCAACAATAACATTTCATCCAATCATTAGGATTAGGATTAGTCAGGTTCCTGATCGCAACTCACCGTGTAAGAACACCAGCAGGCATCAGGACATAACGAAAGCTTTATTAAATCAGAACATAAATTATGTGCCATTCATGTGAAGCGTGAATTGCCATTTAAAATCTCGATGTTATAAACACTGATTGTGGTAATTCCGATGATAAAATTGTATTATGATATGATAATATTCCAAGTATTACACCAAAAAAACTGCACAAGCAAATAAG